TTTATTTTAGATTCTGAACAAAATTTAAATAGCAAACGAATTGTATAGTTTGTGAATAATATTTTAGCGAACAAATGAATTCTATATTTTCCATATTTCTAAATTTTCTAGAATTCTGTATGTTTATTTTGAATAAAATTTAAATAGCAAATGAGTCCAATATTTTCCGAATAAAATTCTAACAAACATATTAATTCCATATTTTCTGAATAAAATTGAAATGAACAAACGAGAGTACTGTGTTTTCTCAATAACATTCTAACAAGCAAATTAATTGTGTATTTGGTGGATAACATTGTACCGAACATTTCAATTCTCCATTCTGTAACATCTAAATAATTTCATATTTCTGTACCGTAGAGGTCCCAGAAGGCAAGCCCATTTTTCGCGGCAGAGAATTGTCGTGCCGGAGGGAAGAGAAGCTTGTCAGAACAGCTGAAATATGTTGGAATTCACTATCGTTTGAATAATTACGAGCAGTGCTATCTACGAGGCGGACACTTGCCATGTCGCAGCCCAATATTATGTTCTAGCGTGAATGTAGAGCGTGAGATCTTGGAATACACTGGCAATCAAAAGTTTGGTCACACCTACGATTTGTTACACTTTCCGGATGAATACGACACGTGGAACGTGGGTGGGAATCATGGCTCGTTGATCACGCGATTTTACCCTGGGTTTTATGCTGTCAGAGCTTAGGAATTCAAATTGAATTTGTGCAAATTAGTGTGTATTAATTAAGCATTGCTATGTAATTCTAACAATTTTTCTGAAATTTTTGTGTGGAAATATTTCAAGAGAAATTTAATCTCACTTGATAACAGAATTTTTAATACTAATTAAAGAAAGGAAGCAGCGTCTGATGAATATGAACATTGGAATAGGAATTAATATTGAAATTGGTATTATCTTATTCTAGTGTAGAGATAATATTTTACAGCAAATTTCACACAATCTGTATCATATGATAATTAATGTTAATTGAACTGTAGAATAAGAAAATATACAAACTTTTGCAGTGATACTATATTTCTCATAAATATTCCAACACTTACTCTGCAATTTCCCTAAGGAAAAACAAACCAGCAGAAACTTTCAATTCCAATCAAATAGATATGAAATAAAGAAAGAATGTTTCCTTAAAACACGATGTGAAATAATGGTTGAAATGGTCTATATTGCTCTACAATAAAATTTCATTTCGTCTGTTCACTATTGTATTCGAATATTGTACCGTTGCCAAACGTTTATTCCAATAATTACTCGAATTCTCTATCTGTATTACCATACTAATCAACCTATTAAAATTTATAACCAGCTATTACGTACAATTTATTCACACGTGACAACGAGAAATTGTTCTATCAAAATTGTTACGAGTTAACGAGTAGTCGAATTGAATTTTCTATCGTCGGTGTTCTATCGAAAATGGCTCCAGGGAGCATTTGAAAGAGCGTTCCAGTGGCGGCCGTGTTGCGCAGATGTTCGTAACACGCGGTCGAAATTCCACGGTAATACAGAGAGTACCGAGAAACATAAATTATCCTATCTGGTAACCGGGTGTACGGGCATATTGCCACGAGTGTTTCGCATGTTGCGTTCCTTCGCTAATTCATTCGCACGCGCTAATTGCTCTGGCTTTCTTCTTGACCTTTTGTTACTCCGCGCGGGCGTCTGCTGCTCGACAGCTTGGAGCCCGAGTGGAAAATTGGACACTCGACGTGTGGCGAAAATTGTTAGAAAACAATGCTTGTTTTCGAGGCGTTAGTTAGGTTCCCGGTTGGGAAACGATTCGTGGAAAATTCCATTTTGCTTCCTGTTGGCGTCGTTCAATGGGAAAATTGCGGGGGATATGGGGAGACGTGAAATTTATTGGTGAATCGTGGCAAATTTTAGGGGAGAACAGAATGGTAAAGAATAATCTTGAAAAATTTGTTTGGGTTGAAATATCGAAGAGAACGGAAAATTGGGGAGTCGGAGTCGTGAAATTTGTTATTAAAAAGTGGGGCAATTTTAGTGGAGAACAGAATAGTGAAGGATATTCTTGAAATATTTGGAGGAAAAATTTGATTGGATTGAAATATCGAAGAGAATGGGAAATTGGGGAGTCGGAGTCGTGAAATTTGTTATTAAAAAAGGGGCAATTTTAGTGGAGAACAGAATAGTAAAGAATATTCTTGAAATATTTGGACGAAAAATTTGATTGGGTTGAAATATCGAAGAGAATGGGAAATTGGGGAGTCGGAGTCGTGAAATTTGTTATTAAAAAGGGGGCAATTTTAGTGGAGAAGAGAATAGTGAAGAATATTCTTGAAATATTTTTTGGGACAAAATTTATTTAGTTTGGGAGACAGAGTCGTGAAACTTGTTATAAAAACAGTGGCAGTTTTAATAGAGAACAAAGTCGTAAAGATTATTTTTGGAGAAAAACTTAATTTGTTTGAAGAGAGAGGACGTGAAATTCGTTATAAAAGCAGTGACAATTTTAATAGAGAACAGAATAGTACAGAATATTCTTGAGATAGTTTTTGAGACAAAATTAAAGTGAAACTTATTATAAAAAAGGTGGCAATTTTAATAGAGAACAAAGTCGTAAAGAATACTTTTCGAGAGAAACTGAATTTGTTTGGAGAGACAGAGACGTGAAACTTATTATAAAAACAGTGGCAATTTTAATAGAGACCAAAGTAGTAAAGAATATCCTTGAAATATTTACAAGAGAAATTAGCTTAAAATATGGAAGAGAACGGAAAATTGGGAATTCAGAGTCCTAAAATTTATGATAAAACAGTGGCCATATCTAGAGATAGAATAGCTTTTGAAATATTCCCAGAAAAATTAATTCGCCTTCCACTGCATTAGTAAACGAGAAAATTGGGTATTCGAAGTTGTGTAATTTATTATAGAACATTAAACTATTTTACAAGAATGTTCCTAAAATATTTGACGAAAAAAATTCATTTAGTTTCAAACATAAAAGTGAATGAAAAATTCCGAAATTCAGAATCGTGAAATTTCTCGTAAAACGATAATACATTTTCAAAATATCTTCACAAAAATTAATTTCAATGTTTAATTAAATTAAACGGAAAAATTGCATATTCAAAGCCTCGCAGGGTATTGCGGAATATTTTTGAAAGTATTGGAGAAAAATTGATCTAGTTTCCAAGTAACACTTCCATGATCGAAAAAGAAACCGCCAGTTCGATCGGCTGGAGAAACTTCGGTTCAAGGAGAAGTTGTGAAGTAGTATTTAACGTTAGATAGTTGGAATGAGTCATTTCGCAGGATTGCTCTGCAAATTTGAAAGAAAGTGCGTTTTGTTCGTCAGCTCTCGAACGAAACGCAATCGAGGAAATGCAGAAAGAAAGTTCGATCACTCGTGTGTTGTTTTTTTTTTTTTTCTCTTCTGTCGTCAATTTTCTACGGTTCATAAAGAGAGGAAGACGAAACTTTCGGTTTAGCAGCAAGACCTCGGTTATAACTTAATTTAAACTTGAGAAACAAACTTGTACAATTTTTGTCAAGTTTCGAATTTAAATTTGGCTAATCTTGGAAAAGTTCCAACCATTATTACAATCTTCGATAAAATTCTACTCTAGAGAACTTTTTATTCCACTCGAATTTAACTTCGGCGAACTTTCCAAGAAGTGACTTTTTAGCACACGAAAAAGTAAACAATTAGAAAATTACGGAAGTTAGAATTGATTCGTTTCGGAAAATGATTTTGCTGAATTTTGAACTCGACGTTGAATTTTCTTCTGTTGATCTTCGTCATCGTCATAATTATTTGAATATCCAAAGAAATAGAAAATTACAAGATTTGTGTTAGAAAAATTAGAAAATTGATAATCTCAGAAAATCACTCTGCTGAATTTCAAATTCAATATTGAGTTCTCTTCGATGCTACTTTGTCTCTGTTTTATTCTTCATCATCGTCCTAGTTATTTAACATAAAAAAAAAATAGAAA